TTTCCTAAAATTCACATGTAATCAGCTATTTTGTCAATATTCATCTGAATTTCATCTCCCCACCTTTCCCTGACAGATGTGCAAATATAATACAAGGCATTTAAATAATACAATATAATTCAATAAGCATCTCATGTCCAACATAAACAAAGATTCATTCTAATAGGCCATTTAGTAAAAAAAACCTAAGGAGCAAATCTTTGTATTATATTCATAGTACATTTACATTCAGTAATTAGCCTACATGTATTATATACTACTGTGACAAAATATAAGTACTTTACTAACTCATTAGAAAGTGCATGACTAATTAAAAAGGCTGCTCAGGGTTAACAATTTTAAAGTTATGAGAAATAATTTTCTGAATGAATTATGCAGTGTAAATTCTGTAAGTGAGTAAGTTACCACTTCCTGTTTAGATACAGACCTTTAACAGCCAAATCAGTTCTGGAGAATGATTATTTCAGACTAGGATCTAGTGTGCATACTGTAGTGTACAGTATATACTTATATTTTCTGCATACAATCACAAATTGCAAATTGCGATTTGCTTTTTGTAACAATTAATTACAAACGAACAGAACACTTTATTAACTAAAATCAATTATCATATTTTCATTTTATTTTACAACACACCTCTAGACTATATAATCTGCTTTATGCTGTTATTGCTGGTAATATCTGTCAGAAGTTTGAAAATGCTAAAATATGAAACATTTTCTCTATCGTCACAACAGGAATTTATGTACAGTAATTTAATACTGTCTGCATTAATGATACAGTAGGTCTACAAATACTAATAGTTACAAATACTAATAGTTATGTCACTTTCCACATATGTTGCAAAGAGCACAATCTGGAACACAATTCAGAATGATTTATAAATATGTAAACGTGGCTGTCGCATGATCAACAATGAGCAGTGTTGCTGATAAGTGAGTTCATTAGAACACAAAGCAACATTTTCTGTTCCATTTGCATAGAGACGGCCAATACAGAAACTCAACAATGTCTCTTGATCAGAAAAAATATTTGATGTCCCAATCCCACTGTACAGA